TCACAAAGTCATGTGAAAAAGAAAACAAAAAAAAAAAAAGAAAAGAAAGCAATAATTGAATATGGCAACAAAATAATGGGGTGTTCAAATAGCAATTATTTAGTGAAATATTTATATTAGTAAGAGAAGAAATTGCATATGTGACAAATACATGATAATTATGATATAATATCATTGTAATTGATATATATTTGTATTGTAATAAAATATTAATAATAAATAATGAAATAATATTTTCGACGTCAACAATTTGTAGTTTTGCGGTTTGCTAATTATTATTCACTTATTTGCCTTAAAAATAACGCAAATAACTGCATATCAACAACAATAAAAACAATTAGACGAAATTAACCCTTGCTGTGCGCGTGCGGTTGCGGGTGACCGCAACATATTCCCATGGTCAGTAATGGCTGGCACACGTTGTTTAAAGTAATAAGCCTGCATATTTACATATAAATGTGCATTATATAGCTTGTGGTTGTTTTTGCTGCAATTTTCGTTGCCGCTTCGCTGCGCGTAGCTGTGATTAACCCAATTTGGGTGCAATTGTGCGCATTACTTGCTTTCTATAGTAAATTGATATAACATACATGTATTTATATATTTATGTATATATCTATACTAAAACATATGTGATATGTGATTATAAATAGTTTTGTGTCATTACTGTATTCAATGTGTATTAAGTTTTTTCGTTCTTTAATTAATTTATTTGCTCTAACTATTTAAATAGGATTTAAAATTTTAGGAGATTAAAAGAAAGTAATGATTTTTTTTTATTAATAAATTTTTTGGTTGACCGCCTACTTATTGTATATCGGTTAAGGAGTTAAATGGGTTAACGTTTTTAAACGTCATTTTCTCGAAACTGTTCTTTTCATGTCTGTTTGGATTTCTGGAGAACTACTCAACCGATCTACATGAAATTTACACTGGTATTTGGGATATAATTCTTAAAGACTTGGACCAAAGAATTAGTTTTTTCGATTACAACTATTTGAAAAACAATGTCGCGAAATAATTTATATTTTTTGGTCAACATGTTTGCCAAAAATCCAATTTTCAGTTTTGTTTTTGTTTTTTTTTTCTTCGTCCAAGTTCTCAGTTAGGGTTCTAAGTGATGTCTTCCATGCAAATGTTTTTTTTTTTTTTTTTTTTTTTTTTTTTTTTTTTTTTTTTTTTTTTTTTTTTTTTGTTGTTGAACCACAATGCAGAACTCACTTCATGGAGTAAAGTTGACTTCAGAATCTGTGAAAATTATTTGTCGACCTTTTTCGCCGAGAAACCAGAAAAGTTTTGCACTGATTGAATAATGTCTCTAGCGGCAAAATGGCTAAAAGTGGTCGACCCAAATGGTACCTACTTGATTCCTTAAAGTTCATTATAAATACAAAAAAATTAGTTGAAGTGTTATTAGAAATACGAAAATACCCAACGTTTGACGGTTCAATCACTTCTAAATTTAAAAATCAATTACTTTTTGGAACTTTCCGTAAACCTGCAACTTATAGGAAACTAACAAAGCCAGCAAAAATTTCCATTTGCAACGTTTTTTTTATGTGTGTTTTCACTTGAAATTTATTACTCTTTTGTATGTAGCTTAATTTTATTTTTATTTGATTTCTTGCAGTTTTATTACCAGATTTAAAAAAAAAACTACAGGTAGTCATGAGAAGTAATTGTGGTAGATGAACAAGTAAGACCATTACGTAACACACAAAGTCATAAAATTAAATATAAATAAAATTTTAATGATGGTAGTTAGCAAACATGCATCGAAATAAATATTTGTAGCAAATTTTTGATTTAAAATAATATGCCCATACATATATACATGAGTACTTAGAAAAGTAGTTACTGTAAAAAATATTAAAATAAAATTTGGTTATTTACAAAAAGATCTGCAAGTAATATATAAAAAATATAAATAAATTTTCATTTAAATTATTCTAATTTACAAATACAAATGTTGGATAAAAAATTAAAATTAAAACAAAATTCAAAGAGTAAATAAATATTTAAAAATTAAAACCTTTATCCCAAAAATTTAAATTTTGTTCTTTAATTAACTGATTGAAAATTTAGAAAAAATATGTTTTTTGAATTTGGAATTATTTTGCGCATGCTTACATCGCGTTATACCATTTTGGTTATTTTCGTGTCCGGAAGACTTATTTTCAATATAATTTTTACATACTTTGCCTTATTTATATTTACTTACTTTTAATTGCAGTATTTCAGTTAGAAATATATAAATATTCCTTTTTTATTTCCTTTCACCCATCTTCTGATTTGAAAAATATTTTTTTATTTGTTAATCCAATTTTTAAATAATTATTTATTTTTTTTTTTAATTTTTCATTCTGAGATTTTCAATTTTATTTTAATCCCGAATTTGGAAATCAAAATTTAGTTATTTTTTTTTAAATTTTAAATAAAAAATTGACAAACCTGAATCCAACAATGAAATTATGTGGGAATATTTAAAATGCTTCGTATAATTTTATAATAGTTTTTAATGAAATTCCCGAAAGTTAACTATTCTGGCTCATGAAGGTATCGTACGCTTTTAAAGGATTGCCAGAGCGTAATTTATTATCACCTACTCTCTTGTGGTGAAACTTTTAATTCGTAGCTGTTTTATCAACAATTGAACTGCTTGAGTGAAGCATTCGCAAGAGGTAGCCGGCCGCAAGAGGTGACCGACAGAAGAGGAATTGGGTTCCATCAGGTCAACGTCATACACCATACATATTGATAACAACTCAGCAGAATCTCTTCTCGATCCTGGTACCAAAATATACTATCTGTTCTTATCTATTGTGAATGATTTTGCGAGAGAAACTCAAAGAAAGAAGTTTTCAAAAACAACTTTCCAGTTTTTTTTACTAATAGGGACAAAAGTTTTTATAAGAAAGGTGTTATGAAATCACCTTCAAAATGATAACTAGTAATCAAATAGGGTTATGAATATTTGATCTAAATCGAAACATTGCAAAGATGCCAAACAAATCCTTCATTTTAAAAGATCGTAGACCAGAACTGTAAGCTCTTACTTCTCAACTAATCAATCACTCCATAATTACCGACTTAAATTCATGACTAAAGGCTGTATTAATGGGATGTTTGGTGGATCTATTACTGGTTTGTAACTTAGCCATAACAAAACTACTGGGAGCTAAATTCTGTAAAGACCATTCCAAGTGGGAATTTGCGCAACCCTAATAATTGTTTCGATTTAAGTATGCAAATAATCATCCAGTCACACGAATTGCAGCCAGTTTGCTCAGTGCCAACACTAAATCGCTTAATCAAAATCAACCAAAATCATACATAAATATTCCAGTCAAACGTCAGTTGAAACGCATAAAAATCACTTGTCATGCCGATGACGTGCTCGACGAACTAATGATCAAAGCATTGGACTGACTTTGCAGCCAATGAAAAAACAAATAACTTCAGCTACAAAAGCTTATGTGCAATAACTGATTGACTAATATCGATGATATGAAATTTTATGAATTAATTTAAGTCGAATTTATGTGGTAACATTTAAAAGCACACATTTTTATAAATAGAATTATATGTTTCAACATATTTTCGAGATTACACAAAATATATTTTTGCTGTGCTTTGGACAATCAAAACAAAACAATTCTCTAGGCGTATAATATTGCTGAAATTTATGAAACAGTCGGTTATTAAAGTAATTTTTTTATTGTGGTGTCATTCGACAAAAAAAAAATCCGATTTAAATATATAGTTCATCGAAATTAAGAAAACAATAATTATAATCGATATAATTATAATCGATTAATTTTAACGATTTGAAATTTCCATTCGATAAAAAAAATCTATTTTTCAGTAAATAAATTATCGAAGTACAAGTCAGATAAAATTCGATTTAAATATAACGTTCATCGAAACTAAATTCGCGATTAATAAAAATCGATAAATATAATTGCTTATTTTCAATGTCTTCAATTTTGAATTCGATAAGAAAATCACCAATAAATATGTTACTGAAGTAAAATATAAAATAATAAGCCATTATTAAGCGATTATTAAGCGATCATTAAAATCAATTATCTGTAAATTCTTTAAAATCTCCTTAAATTTGATCCCTTCAATTTTTCCAAATCAATTAAATTTATTTATTAAAACAACAATTTCATTTATTTATTATTTTTTGTCATTAATTTGTTTGTTCATCTTGTCCCTTGAAATAATCGTTTTATATACAACCCTAAATTATCGTATTTTAATAGGAAAAACATATTAATAATATTATTAAATATCTTAAATCAAATTGGTAAATAATACAAAAATATATTTTATTTTAAAATTACTTATTTAAAAATGCAACTCTTAATTGACAAACAGCACACAATTTTTTTTTTTTTTTTTTTTTTTTTTTTACTGCAAAAGTTCGGTAAATGCGCTTAAAAGTAAATATTTTTACCGTAAGTAATAGCGAAAAGTATTTACAAAAGTTAACTATGTTAAAACCTCACTTAAAAGTAAAGTTGTTAGCGAACTTTTAGTAGTAGGCTGTTGGAAAATATTTTAGAAATAAGTTTATATCAAAAATTAGAGAGTTTTGAAAATTTTTTCAGAGATTTTCGACTTTAAATTGCAAATTATGCATTTAAAATAGAATTCTGATATAATTATAAACATCTACTCATTAAGATCACTTAGATACAATATATGTATGTATATAAGTACATACTTCTATAGTCAAAGACTACTTAGGAATATCGAAAACAAAGCAATACAATAAACTAATATTACTCAGTTGTTTAATCGAATTTTACTTCGAAACTTATATGCAATTATAGTCTAAAATTATTCTCCCTCTTTAGCTCGCTCTTCCCATTTAACTTTAACACTCATTCATTATTTAAGTAAGCCTTTGTAAATTTCGATTTTCCCGTGTTGCCAGTGTTCATCGAATACTCAATTGTATGTATTCTTAATTGAGTGGCTTAAACCATATCTTACAGCTTCACCTTATGCGATAATTTCATTAACTTCTTTGAACTAATCGGACAATTAGGCCACAGATTTGCACAACCCATAGGACCGCTGTTATCATCGCCTGTATACCGAAGTAATTCGCCCATGTGAGCGGCAAAATGCCATTTACTCGGCGCTGAATTCATTGCCAGCGACATGGTTGAGGATCTGAAAGAGAAAAAAAAAAGATGGAATATAGTAAATATTCTGTTCAAATATATATAACAATTCTGAAAAGATTTCGTCATCTATAACTAGATCTCAAGCAGTTTAACATACAGTCGGTACCAGAGAGCTTTAATGAAAGTATTTTCTTTACCTATTACAGCAGAAGTTACTTTACAAATTCAATGTATATAAAATATGAAATCAACAAAGAAATCAGTTTAAAGATGCTAGAGACATTTTCCAGGTGGTTGTTAATAAATATCAAATCTTCAGAACCCAATAATAAATGATCCGAAAATATCATCGAACCAGCTGATGAATAAACTTTCTGATATTCTAATGAACTGTTCCGGATTTACTGATATTCGCATCTCGGCCAGAGTTTTGTTACCTTCGGCAATATGTCTTCGGTAGGAGGAAAGAATTACCTCACATTGTGAACATGCCAATAAGAATCAATCGTAATATTCCCGAGATTGAGCGGTCTTCAATCAAATTTCCATAATTCTGATAGCTTTTTCTTCCACTTTGCCCCCTATCTCTCCCAGAATAATTGTACCGTAGGTAGGTCGATCAGCTGTTTCAAAGCATAGATTTATTTCAATATCGCGGAGAGCCCAGCAAAGCTGTGTAATTCTTCAGAGGCTATTCCAGAAGTCAATGAAAGCATTTAAAAATATCTCTATTTCTCATAAACTATCCTAATAATACCAGCAATCAAATGAAGGAGCCATATGGAAATCGGTTAAACCGTTCAGCGCAGATCTTCACAATCAAAAAACTCAGCGCTTCTGTTGATGAGAATAAAAAACACACATGTTCAGAATCAGTCTCGCCCAAAAGGCTCATAATTATATGTCTAAGTATCAAATGAAAAACAGTTTGGGAAAAAAATATAACTGATAAAATTAGCTTTCGGTTATTGTAGTGAAGTCCAAAATCTTCGAAACATTTAGTCTATTTGATTTAGATACTTTCAAGTTCGGTTCCAAATGCCCATATAGAAATATTTTTTTATTATATCCGTCCACTTTTCCGTTCGTAAAAAGGTCCATAAAATTGCTAAGTTTATCGCTTGGGTGAAAGCAATGCAAGGCGCACGCTTTTGACGCTTAAACTTCACCTTTAACCCTTGGTGGAGACGTGACTTCCTATTCCAAACACTTATGTATTTAAGTACAAAAGTAGTGCGACCAGACAGTCCACAAGCTGCGGTCGCAGGCAATTACAGTTACAATTACAAACAAACACCCAAAAGGCATGAAATGACGACAAACTCTTAGACGGGGGGCTGTCAGCACGCCACTACTGTACATAATACTACAAGCTATTATTTTTCCAGCTTTTGTTGCTAAACGCGGCGGCATTTGAAGGAGGTAGCCGGATACTGTCTTTTAGTTTTAGTTCTTTTTATTTTTAATGCGCCACTTTAAGTTGCTACAATTTATGTCTATTTGTTGTAGTTGTATATATAAATACGTATATAAAATGTTTGTATATAATTTTTTTCTGCTCCTGAGCTAATTGCGCACAAGTCAAGTGCGAGGTTAATGCTACCAGTCAGCCAACCGGTTAGTTGCCACGCTTTGAACGGTGTGCAAATAACAACATGGAACTACAATATTTTTTTACAACAATGTATTTATGTATGTATATATAGTATGTACGTCAATGGCACGGCTGTTTAGCGTGGACACCGAGCTGTATACAAATTTCCAGTGTAAACAGTTGTTTTACTTAAATTAGAAATTTAAATACAATGCTGATATTTAAATATTAGGGAGGTGCTTAAATTTTGTGAAGGAGTTTTATATTAGATTTACTAATTGTACCAATGCTCTTCTGTACTGAAATACATATTTATATCACAAGAAACTTTTGGACCTGGAAGAAGTGTATTAAGAGGTATTTTTTCGGAAGTCCTCCTTGCATCGGGATCAGGAAATCCAAACTTTTTTTTGGAATAAATTAACGACTATTAGAGTATATCAAATTTTTTAAATGGAATTTTTCATTTTTTTTTTCTTGGTTATTAAACAAATTATATGTTAAAAAAAAAAATTTGAAAAAGATTCGTTTTTTAAGACCTGAAAATGGCTATAACTCCTAAAGCTTTCATTTTGGCCTAAATTAGCGGCTAATGTAGGGCATTTAAAGGCGACACTGTTTGTAGAAACTCTTGCTATTCGAAAGAAAATAAAATATTTTCTGCAAATCTTCATTACACTTGCTAGACAAGTTCGTATGTTTTTAGATTACGACAGATTTTTCAAAATTGTAAGAAAAATGGTTCACAACTGGGATAGATACGTTAAAAAAGTTGATAAATTCGTCTAATAAAAAGCTGATTAAACCCAATACTTCAACAAAACAGTGGATTTTTTTCATTCCTCTATCAATTGAAAAAGGTTTTTGGAACCTTAAATATACTTTACGATAAAACATCATTCATTCTACAAAATTCGGTACTAATCTAACCCTATAATATTATTAAACAGAAGTAATGGTATGGATTCTTCTCTATTGTGTTTGAGAAATATTTTGTTTAGTAAAGGTATGGGTTATTCTCTATAGTCTTTAAAAATATTTAATTCCTTCCATTATTGAAAACCTGCAATCATAACTTTTAATGCCGAAGGAATCATATATGAATTTAAGATCCGATTTAAAGCCCTTTAGTGTGTTTCGCTGAAGTAATTTTTTAAGTTAACGCAGATTTTTTTGTTGTTTTGATGGATCATGTGTATGATATACCTTCAAATGTGGATTATACCCACATATCGGGTAAAAAATCAGTATAGAAGGAAATTCGAAATTTTACATCCGCTTGGAAGATAAACGATCGCCAAAAATACTTATAATTTCATATCTTTAAGAACTACCGCAATGAACAAGTATTTGAGTGCAATACACACTACAAGATTGTAGTCAATTGTTTGCTCATATAATATTCACATATTGGCATTTACGCTTAAAACATGTGTTTGCTGTAACCATTTAGAACAATTTGCAAAGATATCTAATTAAATAAGCAAATCGCGCTCTTTACCACTTCCTTTTACGGTATTTTTATTGCAATGAAGCTTTACTTCCACATTTATACTACAAGTAAACGATTTTCTTTAAGTATGAATGGTGTATAATTAAAATAAATATCGACAGTTAGCCGATGTAGGCTGATTTAGTCACTCACTCTCTCCACAATGTGGGCAACGTGCGAAGAGCTAAATAATATTGTATATGCAACAAATGGCGAAATGACAATTTTGAACTTAAATATAATATATCAATTGTATATATGTATATATATATACATACATACACAGCAAGCATGTAAGTATATATATACGTATATATATGTATATACATATATTCAATGCTTATTTCATGCAACATGCTTTAACAAAATCATATAATTTATACTTATATACAAAATGAAAACTTAAAGGCTTGGGGTTAAGGAAAAGATGGTGAATTACGAACAATGCTTATTTTAAATATGTGAGTATATATAGTAGATATAGAGATATATAATATAAGTACATGTATGTATAAATAGAGAATTGCTATTCATTTAGGTGAAGGTAATGACTGCCATTAGTCGTGTGGAAGGTGAGCATGCTTAGAATTTTTACGGCTGCTACGTAGAAATCGTTTCGATAACGCTACTTAGCATTACATACATTAACGTTAAAAAGTACGACCGAAAAATAGAATAAAATAATATATTTTTTTTATTAGCATAAAGCAAGTAATTTCATTTATTTGAATTAACATTATGTATAATAGAGCGTTCCAAAAAACTCTTTTAGTCGTAGAGAACGGAGTTCACCGTCGCCTTGGGTAATAATCCCTCACAGATTTCGTGAAAACATCTCGTCAAATAAAATTTTTTTCAAAATATGACATGGGTTTGATTGTTATGTGTGTATGGCAGCTATAGAAATAATGGTCCGATATCGGCGATTCCTACAAATGAGCAGTTTCTGAGAAAGGAAAGGAAGCGTGCAAAATTACGGATCGATATCTCATGAGCTGAAGAACTAGTCCAACTATTTAGATAAGCTAAGATGATGCTAAAACGGTGTACGGAAGTATTCCAATGTGAAAATTGGCGACAGCACTAATATTTTTCTCTACAGATTTACCAAAATTGTGAATTGTTTGATATTTTATGTAGCAGATCACTAACTAATGTTCCGTATATATGCTATTGAACAAAATCGAATCAATTAAAAAGGGGTAACTTCTATGCTTCAGTTTACTGTTTCTTGACTCCAATTGCTCTAAAGATTAGTTGTCTTCATTTTTCCAAAATATAATCAAATAAAGATCAAATAGAGATAGAATAACAAGCGATTATACTACATTAATTCAAACCCCATAGAGCAAATATCGAGCGTTGTTTCGAATAGTTAGTCCTATTATCGTATCGGTTTCGTAGCATGGATGGTGAATGATGCGCATCCTCAGAGGCGCCGTACAGTGCGCACCGAAGACGTTATTGTTACTGTGGGGTGTAGTATAGAATAAGGCCCAAATAAACATCGCGCGCAACAATTGGAGCTATGCGTAACCACTTTGTGGAAGATTTTGCGGAAGGATTGGAATTTACGGGCTTGCAAAATTCAAGTATTGCATGAATTAAACCGAAAAAGTACGTTACACGTTTGGTAAGTGGAACGAATACTCCAACTTGGACAGCTGGGTCGGTTTGGTCGTCGGTCCTTGTGATGTCCAGTATAGATTTCAAAAGTATTTAGCCTCACCGCATGATTATCTATAGGACAGTGTCCAGTTATTTTATTACTGCTATCATACCGGTGAGATGAGCCTCGTTAAGATTAGGGAATTCAATGAATAACTTAAGACACTTTGTGTTAAAAACTGTCACTATCGCACAGGTGCAGGTTGCTAACCAACGCTTACTGAACTCACAGAATGTCCACCGATTCAGTGCAAGAATGCAAGAGCCCAACAGATCTATACCCCCCAAACTTTTCCCCGTCCACATATCCCCTGTGGGTAGCTTACATTCACTCGTGGATAGACAGACGGCATGAGGGCTTGGATGACATTATACCGAACTGACCGACGTGTACAGAGAACATAGCAGACTCTTGAAATGTATTATTTTTTTTATTTTTTTTCCTTTCGGCTGGCATGTTGACTAGAGCGGTATCAAATGCGTCGGAGTAGGTCGGTATCTCTGAGGAAATTATATATCCTGCTAATATTATTGTCCATCGGGTTTTTAACAGCTGTGTAGGGTTAATACCATTGAAATAGTGTAGTCTTTGGGCATCAAGTTTCGGGCAGCAATCCAAGAGGTGGTTAATGCTGAGTGAAAAGTTGTAGAACGGGCAACGACTAGGAGTAGCGCCTTGAAGCAAATGAGAGGTTGTAATAATCGTGTGGCCAAGCCGGAGACGGGTATATGGAGTTATATAGTTTGTCGGCATGGTCGGAGAGAAGCAGGGTTTTGTACGACTGGGATTGATTGAGGAGTAGTRATGGCTATATCGGCTCCACTCGGATAGCAATTTTTTTTGCCTCTCATTATTTATATTCCAGTAGATATCCCTTTTAAAAAGAACGTTGGAAGTTATGGTAGGTGTAATATATTATTGTGTATGTATTATTTATAGCCCTTACTTTTCAAATACAAGTTAAAAACAAAAAATCACACTCGGTGGTAATTGTGTGATTCATAATTTAACGCCGATCATGTATCAATCGACTGAGAAATGAAAAGCTGTTAACGAAGATTCTGCTCTCATAATGACAAAACTGACACTTTTCAACAGATTAGGCTTCCGTCAGTCCGCTCAATAGAAGAGACTTAAATTACCTGTCCTTTCTACGAAGTAATACTTAACCGGTGTTTCCGTGGGAGAGTAGTAAGTTGGGTATAGCCGTATAGTAGCTTCCCCTACTATAACAAATATATATCCCCTGGGGGTATATACACAAAGAGGAAACCACCAGAAACTTTTCCTTACTATTTTGCATTAAAATATGTCGATGAATTTTTCTAAAGACGACATATCACTGCTATATCACATCCCAAAAAATCATACGAATGTAAGATACTTTCGATTTTAAAACTGATTTACTTCGTTTATCAGTAGTTGTTGTTGCATCAGAAAAAAAATTAAATAAATACAATTAGTAAAGCATCTGTATGATGGGAAGCGTGTGTTGAACTGAAGAAAATTTACGGACCGACTTAAAGAAACCACAAGACTTTAATTTAATGCGCAAATGACGAACTAAGCGCTAATTACATCATCTGAAGCAACCATTAAAAATAGGCTTGTTTTATTATTTTCTTTTGTTTGTATATTTACTTAACACGTGTAGTTTTGTTTATCTTTTATTTTTAATTTATTTAAACACCAGTTTGCCGGTTTAAGTCTAGCGAACTATTACGCTTGATGCCAACTTAAGATTCTGAGCTACACAATTTTAACCAAAAACAAAACAAAACTTGTATATTTAGTAATAAATTGAAAGTTTGTTTGATTTGCACACAAAGAAACCGTAAATACAGTTGTGTACAAGTTGGCACTCACGTCAGGGGAGCAAACAGAAAATTACCAATTCACTTCCTTATTTAGAAACTGGCTGCCATCAAGCAAAACTTAGGGAGACTTGATAGCTTTGCCAATTTTTTTTGTCATCTCGCTAGAATGGTTTGCCAAATTAGCGTAAGAACATTAAGCATTTTAATATTATTTACAAGCTGTTGATTAAAGATTTGTAGATACTACACGAGTGAGGCACAAGTCAAACGAGATTTTCTCTTATGCAAAATAATTAGCGAAGCCTACGAGAAGTGTTATAGGCCTTTTGCTAATTTATTAGTTTCTATATTGATTTTACTAACGAAATTTGTATTGCTTCCTCATTCCTAGATTTCAGTTCTAGCTAATTTTGCGCATTTTCTAAAACTGGAATGGCAAGTAATGAAACACGTGTATTAAGAATTTTCGCGAATAAAAAAAAATGTACGCTTACCTCATAAACAAAACTATAAAAATAAATATTTTTTATTAACTCGAGTACTCACCTTATTAAGTACAAGAGATCTTTCTCCTTTTCGGTGAGCATATATTCTGGCTTTGCGGACATTTCGCAGAGCATTTTTGGCAGGCAGGACTCCTTTATGGCATCTGTTAATTGAGATTTGAGTGTGGTTTGCTTGCGTTGAAGCGCGACAGCTGAGAAATCATTGATTTCTGTGTCTGAAATTTTGTAAAATAAATGAGGGATTAAATTTAAAAATTCATGGAAATTAAAACTGAAGTTTTAGAAACACATAATTTCAGTACAAATAAAATTAATCAAACAAACTTTGCACAACATTTTTAATTGAATGTTTATAATTGACTCTGACAGCTCTACTAAGTGTTTGTCCCATAAAACGTTATAATGCTAGAGAACTCGTGTCTAGTGTTTTAAGGGGTTAGGGATAGTCAGAATTTTCAAAAAAAATTTTTTTTTTTTTTACATTTTCGTTAAGTGTAATAGCTTAAAAATATTCCCTGAAAATTGCACGTTGATCCGATAACTACTTTTTGAGTTCTTCGGCAAATAACAAAGAGAGCTCGGGCACCTCAAAGCGCAAGTGTGAAATTTTAAACGCGTTTTTCTCAAAACTATGTTTTTTGAACTGGTGACAACTGTAACTCGAAAACCGCTCAGTAGATTTTAATGAAATTTATGCAGCTTTTAGAATACATAATAAACTATAAACTGGGGGACTCGCAGTAATTTTTTTTTTTTTTTTTTTTTTTTTTTTTTTTTTTTTTTTTTTTAGACCAATTTGGTGCAATTTTTTTTGTCTCGGCTCTCTTTCGGCATAATATTCGCTCGATTGATCGGTTATTTCGAAGTCGTAAGCATAGATCCAAGTCTTATCACCAGTTATAATGCATTTCATGACACCCTGGTAGTCGGAAAGCATCGTTTCACACACTTCAACGCGCCCTTTTACAAAAAATTCAATGTTTTCGGTACCAGTCGAGATTTGACGCGCTTGAGGCCCAAAACATTTTTGCATTGCCAACGCAAACAGCTATAACTTTAGAAATAAAATTTATTTTTTTTTAATTTTTTTTTTTTAATTTTCGACTTCAAGTCAACACATTCTATAATAATGCCATATTATTACTTTTGTAAAATAACACTATTTAATAGCAAAAAGAAATCTGAAAATTATCATTCTTTCGTGCCTCTGACTACCCCTAACCCCTTGAGGAAAGCTATGGCTGTTTGTAATGGTTACATGCTGATCTTTAGGCCATATTTGGCCCAGATATCTGAACTTTGTCCGCATCTAGTAACTGCAATTTATCGTCAATATCTCTTTCCATGTCAAAAACTTAACTTTCTTTTGATGAACTTAAACGTTAATCCGTCACTTTTCAAAAATAACTGAGCAGACGAACTGCGATGCAAAATTTGGTAAACATGGCTCCTAATTTTAACTTTAATGTAATTTTGTTGATGGAAATACCCACTCCGAATATCATGGCAATAGCATGGACATACACCGATGTATAATCATAAACCATATTTTTTATCAAGTTTTCAAGCACTCTACTATATATTTCGAAGTAACTGACTTTTTACTGCCTGATAGCAGCTGTCTTATATTTTGGGGGCGAGCCAAGATTTACTATATTCCATTCAAATTTTTGGTTAACAAAGTTACAATTTTAGTTTTAAATTTTCATATCCTGAACAGAGTATATCAAGTCCGTCACGATGTCTTTAACAATTACGCGTATTATCAACTGTCTTTATCAACCGATGTGCTTCGTGACCGTTTCGTCTTGATGTGATCTACGACCTCGATTTAACTCCATTTTTTTTTTTTGGCTAGGATGAATGTTTTAAACTATTGTAAACAAAAGAAATATTTTTTAAATATCAATGTGAAATTTTGAAATTTATGAATTTTTAGGTTAATAGTACTGTCAGTCACATTTAAGTCAAATTTCATGTCAAATTATTCATTAGTGTTTGACATACGTGTCGTTTTGTGAGCTGCTAAAATTTCGTTGTTTTTTTTTTTTTTTTTGTGTTGTCGAAATTTGTTGAGCAACGAATTTGCATTAAATTTTGTTTACGGAATCAATTTTCTGCTGCGGCTA